AGCTCTTCAGCTCAAGGCTAGCGCTCTACCACTTGAGCCACAGCGCCACTTCCGGCTTTTTTCTTTTTGCTTATGTGGTGCTGAGGAATCGAACCCAGGGCCTCAGGCATGCAAGGCAAGTGCTCTACCACTGAGCCACCTTCCAAGCCCCTGTCCTGACTATTTATATGACAGTTTCAAAAAAAAAGCATTAATCTGGGGGGCTGCGAAGTTGGCTCAGTGGTAGAGCACTTGCCTTGCACGCCTGAGGCCCTGGGTTCGATTCCTCAGCACCACATAAGCAGAAAAAACCAGAAGTGGCACTGTGGCTCAAGTGGTAGGACGCTAGCCTTGAGCTGAAGAACTGAGGGACAGCGCCCAGGCCAAGAATTCAGGCCCCATGACTGACCAAAAAGAAAAAAAGAAAGAAAGAAAAAGAAAAAAAGAAAAAGAGCCAGGTGCTGGTGTCTCACACCTGTAATGCTAGCTACTTAGGAGGCTGAGATCTGAGGATCACGGTTCAAAGCCAGCCTGGACAGGAAAGTCCATGAGACTTTTATCTCTAATATACCACCAGAAAACTGGAAGTGGCACTGTGGCTCAAGTGGTAGAGCACTAGCCTTGAGTGAGCTAAGGGACAGTGCTCAAGCCCAGAGTTCAAGCCCCATGACTGACCAAAAAAAAAAATCATTATACTAGGCTGGGGGATGTAACTAGAAGTGTTACAAGTGGATTCAATCACCAGGACCAGCAAAACAAATAAACAACCAAAGCAGGGCATCTGTTTTCTACCATGATCACCAAAACACTTCTTCATATCAGCTGTACAACAAACGAACGTTAAGTGTCTCAGGTCCTCGTTTTTTATTTTATTTTTTTTTGCCAGTCCTAGGGCTTGAACTCAGGGCCTGGGCACTGTTCCTGAGCTTCTTTTGCTCAAGGCTAGCACCCTACCACTTGAGCCACAGCGCTACTTCTGGCTTTTTCTGTTGATGTGGTACTGAGGAATCAAATCCAGGGCTTCATGTATAATAGGTAAGCACTCTACCACTAAGCCACATCCCCAGCCCTCAAGTCCCCATTTGTATAGACAGTATAAAAAGGATCTTGACCTAAAACTGTCATCTGCAACCCCAGTGTAAGAAAAGCATCCACCAACCTGGTGCTAGTGGCTCATGCCTGTAATCCTAGCTACTCGGGAGGCTGAGATTTGAGGATCATGGTTCAAAGCCAGCCTGGGAAGGAAAGTCCGTGAAACTCTGATCTCCAATTATCCACCAGAAAACTGGAAGTGGCACTGTGGCTCAAGTGGTAGAGGCTTGCCTTAAGCTGAAGAGTTGAGGGACAGCGCCCAGGCCTAGAGTTCAAGCCCCACAACCAAGAAAGAAAAGAAATGAAAAGCACCCATGTCTCTCACTGCACATCTGCTGCTAATATAAGACAACACTGTTGAACTGCATAGTGTAAGAAAGAAAAGGAAAGCCCACATGTTCAAGGCAAGATTTATTTTAGGTAATCCTTCAGAGAGCATGCATTAGGGAAAATACCATTCCAGATTCTCCTTTTTGTTTCTCAAAATGGATCATTAAGCCTAAGTGGGAACTTGGCCATGTATACACACACAGCAATGGAATGAATTGGGATGATTATAATGAATCTTGGCTCCTATGAACATGTATACAGACAGGACCTCATAAAATCAAGTAGAATCATGGGGTAGGGAAGAAATAGAGTAGGGATAAACCAGACCACACTATGAGGGAGTCTTCAAACAGTCAGCTGTCAAAATTAGCAAGATCATTTTGCATTTTCTGTTTGCATTTTCTGGGTGCTGGGAGTGGAACCCAGGGCCTTGAGAATGCTGGAACTCCAAATGTGCTACCCAAACTGCACCTCAGAGTCTACCCCTAGGTTATGTGTTTTTTCTGTTTTGAGACAGGGTCTCTCTATGTTGCCCAAGCTGGCTTTGAACTCCCAGGCTCCAATTATCCTCCTACTTCAGCCTCCGGGGTAACTGGGACCATAACTGTATGCCATCACACCTGGCACTTTCCCTCTTAACTCGATTCTATCCCAATCTTGCCCTCTCTCAGTCTAAAGACTGAAAGGGAAAAAAACGGCTATTTTGTATCCAGGTTTGAGGATGAGCTACTTGTTTCACAGTAGTACAACAAAATAGCACACAATATAAGCTAACCAAACTCTCCCCTATCCTAAACATCCCATTAGCTCAGGGGCTTGAATGCTACATCATCTCATTGAATATCTCTAGATAACCTTTATAGAAATTTTAAGGTAAGGTCTGTTTTGAAAGGTCTTAATTTTCCACAGAGGGCTTTGAACATCTGCTTCTGAATGTATTTAAGTTGCAAGTGTTTTCGTTTCTACCTTAGGGTCACTGAGTTTTCTTATCACGTGAAGCTATAGAGTGCCAAGTCTTTCGAGTGGACAGAAAGCTGCTTTCCTCCCTGGTGACTCCCAGATAAAAATGCAAACACAGTAAATTCTCTAGGCATAAAACCTTGAGAGAGAGAGAGAGAGGTGTGTGTGTGTCTGCCAGTCCTGGGGCTTGAACTCAGGGCCTAAGTACTGTCCCTAAGCTTCTTTTGCTCAAGGTTAGCATTCTACCAATTGAACCACAGAGCTACTTCTGACTTTTTCTGTTTATTAGGTACTGAGGAATCAAACCCAGGGCTTCATGTATGCTAGACAAGCACCCTACCACTAAGCCACATTCTCAGCCTGACAGTGTATATTTTAAAACAGTTGTACAATTGTTTGGTGTGTTGATAATAAGCTGTTACAATTCAAAACAAAAACACCTGAAGCAATCCAGTATCCAGTAATAAAGAGATGGTTGCATTCTCTCTGTGGATCTCCTGGCTAAGAGAATACTAATCTGGTTACTCAATGGGCAAATATTGATGGTGTCTCTGCTATGTGCCAGACACTGGAGAGAAACACTAAACTGAAGCCACCCTCAGAAATCTGAGTCTGCGAAAGCAGAGTGACATTCAACAACTCATCTAGTAACTGCTGGAGAAAAGGCAAGCTATGAAGGGCTAGGAAGGTAACAACAATTTAGACTGGAGGAGGACAAGTTCCTAAACAGCAAGATATTAGTAATTACATTTTTCAGCTGGCCCCTAAAGGTTGCATAAGAGATTGGTGGGTGTAGAGCTGAGCCTGTCTACACTGCAGTGTAGACTGCACTACAGTGCAGGTGCAGGTGTAGGGCCAGAGTGGTAACAAAGAAGAAGACATGGACGTGTCCAACAGAGCTGGCAGGCATGGCCTCATGACAGGACACATCCATATGGAAAGATGACATCTGATGCAAACAGTGGGAATCCAAATAGTACAAGACTCAGCTAAGTCCGTGAGATATGAGTGCAAGAGGAAATCGGCAGCATACCTGGTGCCATGTCATGACTCTGACACGTGAGAAATAGCCCTCCAAGAAGTGTTCAGCTAAGTTACCTAACAGAGCAGGTAACTAGTGAAGACCCTGTGCAAAACCTGTAACTGGGCTAAAAATGACTAGAATACATTTTTATTTTAAAAAATACCAAGTATATACTTGTAGGCACCATATGATCAAGCTATATGTCCTGAAAGCTAAAGAGAAAATAATTGAAATAGTACTGAACTCTACTAATAATAGAACACTACACACAATGTAATTATGTACTAAGAATATACTGAGAACAGTAATCAAGCAAAGTAGGAAGTATAATGACAGTGAATATACATAAAATGTGCGTGCGCTAGGACTGGAGGCCTGACAGGTCAGCTCACCTTTCTTCAGCGAGTGCAGGGCTGAGGCGAAGAAAGTCAAATAGCCGGGAGGTTGTGGCGAGCCGCTGAACTCAAAGTAGCCCAGAACCCCAGGCTGCAGGAAGAAGACACAGGCAGGTCAGTGACAGACATTTGCAGAATTAGAACATCTGACCAGTGCAGTGTGCTGTGCTTCCCTCTCTAGGAAGCCCGAGGAAGGCTGGAGCTGGGGGAACTTCATCTCTTTGAGATACCACCAGGGAGAAGGGATGGAGCCCCAGCAGTTTCAAGGGTGGTCCCAGAAGCTGGACTTCTTTCTCCTGCCCCAGGCAGAGATTTCGGCCTCTGCTGCAAGCTTTTCCAGCCCGTGGCTGGAAACCTCACTATGTATAGATGAGGGGGTGTGAAGGGAAGGAATGCTCACTGCCTTTGTTGTCATGACTCCAGGAGAGCTATAGCCAAATTGTGTACACCTTTTCCTGGGTTTAGTTTATACATACTGTTCAGCTCAAGACCCCTTGTTGATTTGTATTCCTGTGTGTAGGCCTGGGAGATAGCTTATGTTACCTTCTGCCTTGCTGGAAGCCAGGCTTTACTGAATGGCCTCCCCTAGGATCAAGCCCCCACACTACCAGGGCGAAGCCTCCTCTCTGGCCAGCTTAGTGTGTCCTCTTGCTCTTTCACACTCACACTCATTGCTACCTGCTCCATCCCCTGCTCTAATCTGGGCAGGGAGGGCCTGCCATTTGCTAACCTGTGAACTGGCCCCACAGGGATCACCCACCTCCTGTGACTCACTCTTTGGGAGTCCTGTGGGGTTCTGCCCAGTTTGGTTCTGTGATAATCTGATCTATCTATGAAAGCTCAATTGTAAAATGCCCAAGGAAAAAGTACTGTGTCTGGAGTCAGAAGGCATAAGCTTGCCAAATACAGTGGCTCTTACTCTGTCATTCTAGTGGCCAGAGAGGAGATAGGAGGATCAAAGCTCAAGGCCAGTCCAGGCAAAAAATTGGTGAAACTATCACTCAAACAATAAGCCAGGCATGGTGAAAGGTTGGTTATAATCTCAGCGATGCAGAAGGTTAGGTAGAAGAACCACAGTTTGAAGCCAACCTTGGACAGAAAGAATGAAACCTTACCTGAAAAATAACTAAAGCAAAGAGGGCTAAGGTATATAGTGCAAGGTGGCCCTGAATTCAAAACCACAATACTATAAAAAGAAGTGTGGAGCCGGGCGCCAGTGGCTCATGCCTGTAATACTAGCTACTGAGGTGGCTGAGATCTGAGGATCTTGGTTCAAAGCTAGCCCTAGCAGGAGAAGCCCATGAGACTCTTATCTCCAATAAACCACTCAGAAAACCAGAAGTGGCGCTGTGGCTCAAGTGGTAGAGTGCTCTCCTTAAGCTGAAGAGCTCAGGGACAGCGCCCAGGCTGAGTTCAGGCCCCATGACCACTACCACCACCACCAACAACAACAACAAGTGCAGGAGGATGAGGAAAAGAGGGAAGAAAAGGAAGAAGGAAGGAGAAAGGGAAGGAAGAAGACAAACCAACTCAAGCTGGTTATTTTCTGTGTGTGCTAGTCTTAGGGCTTGAACTTATAACCTGAGTAATGTCCCTGAACTTTTATGCTCAAAGCTAATGCTCTACCACCTTGAACCACAACTCTACTTCTGGCTTTTTGGTCATTAATTGGAGGTGAGAGTCTCATGGACTTCCCTGCCTGGGCTGGCTTCAAACTGAGATCCTTAGATCTCAGCCTCCTTCCTAGATAGGACTACAAGTGTGAACCATCAGTGCCTGGCCTATGCTGGTTCCTCCCCTCTCCCCCGCAATCCTGGGACTTGAACTCTGGGCCTGGACTCTGTCCCTGAACTTCTTTTGCTCAGTAGCATTCTACCACTTGAGCCACAGCACCACTTCCAGCTTTCTTGGTAGTTTATTGGAGATAAGAGTATCACGAACTTTCCTGCCCAGGCTAGCTTTGAACTACAATCCTCAGATTTCAGCCTCCTCCTGAGTAGCTAGAATTACAGGGGTGAACAGTACTGGTGCCTGACCTAAGCTGGTTCTTAGAAATTCACCAACAGGACACACAAAATTATATTCACCTTTCATTACCAAACAAATGAGGAATACAAATTCAATGACTACATATGATAATTAGAGGATATGTAAATGTGAAATACCTGCTATATATAATAGGTTAAATACATTCTAAGGGCTACTTGCCTGGGGTGCAGCTTGCATGAGCAAAGGGCATGATTTTGAGTTCTAGCACCTATTAAAAAATGTTTTCCTGTTTGTTGTCTATGTCCATGCTATAACTCTATGAAAGAGACTCTCTTGTTCATAAATATACTTCCACATCAGAAGGTGCCTGACACAGAACAGCAAACAATTTACAACAGGGACAAAAAAGTAAAAAAGTTGAAAGTGGCGCTGTGGCTCAAGTGGTAGAGCGCTCACCTGGAGCTGAAGAGCACAGGGACAGCATCCAGGCCCAGAGTTCAAGCCCAATAACTGACCAAAAAAAGTAAAAAAGTAACTAACACAAAGCTCCTCCTTCAAGACCCAGCCAGGTGCTCGTGGCTCCCGCCAATAATCCTAGCAACTCAGGAGGCTGAGATCTGAGGATCGCAGCATTAAACTAGCCTGAGCAGGAAAATCCATGAGGCTCTTGTCTCCAATTAACCACCAAAAGAGCTGAAAGTAGAGCTATGGCTCAAGTGGTAGAGTACAAGCCAAGCAAAGGAGCTCAGGGAGAAAGCCCAGGCTCTGAATTCAAACTGCCACCACCAGCCCCCAAAGAAAAAAAAATTTTTTTAAGCAGCAAGACCTAGTGAGTGGCAGAGCATAACCTGACCCAGCTGATATGTTCATGCCACTTTGTGGTGTGGTGTATTTAGCGCCATTTTAATGAGCAGGTGAAAATCACCTGCAAGTAGTACCAACCACATCCAGCAGATGGCACACGCCCTTCTCCATGTGCTTCTACTCAATGCTACCTGAAATACTCTATTTCAAATGTTAACACTCACACCTAGAAAATATAAAACTGTTTTGACTGTTTGTGCTGTAAAGCTATGCACTCACAGAGGTAGCTCTCAGCTCAACGTTCAGGTGGAGATTCACATGTAAATTATGTAAATCATATATTGACAAGCCAATATTGTAATACTGGGAGGTAAGCATTCTAAGTTTTCTCCAAAACCTAGATTTTTCTCTCACCTGGCAATTAACCTAACTCTCACTCCCTCAAAAACAAAAACAATCCCAAGCCTTTTTCAATCCTACTTAAATTTAAAACACTTCACAAGACTTTAAGAATAAATGAATGTCTAGGAGCTGGTGGCTATAAGCTTGGCTAAGAGGCTAAGATCTAAGCATCACAGATCAAAGCCAACTTATGCAGACAAATCCCCTGAGACATTCTTATCAACAATTAACCAGCAAAAAGCCAGAAATGGAAGAGTGGTTCACATAGTAGAGCATTAGCCTTGAGTGGAGAAGCTAAGGGACAGCACCCAGGCCCTGAGTTCAAGCCCTATGACTGGCCAAAAATAAACAAATGAATTAACAGATGGATGAATGAACAAACATTAACCAGCTGTTCTGAAGTAGGTAAATTGTATAAGTTCACAAAAAGATTTATAAAATATTTTACAAAATAAAACTTGTTTTGTTTTTTCTCTGAGTTGTAAGGCTTGAACTCTGGGCCTGGGTGCTGTCCCTCAGCCCTTCAGCTCAAGGAAAGTGCTCTACCACTTGAGTCACAGTGCTACTTCTGGTTTTTTGGTGGTTTGTTGGAGATAAAGAGTCTCACAGACTTTCCTGCCCAGTCTGGCTTTGAACCACAATCCTCAGATCTCGACCTCCTGAGAAGCTAGGATTACAGGCATGAGCCAACAGTGCCAGGTACAAATAAAAGTTTTAAATACTAATACCATTACCATTTTGAGGGTTGAGGTACAAATCAGAAACTTTGGTTACGTGCTTTAAAAGAATAAAAAAAACATCACTCACATAATACCTAAGATAAATGAAGGCCAACACCTTCCAAACTTTTCTATCATGGAAGAAGATTCAAATGTTCAGAAAATAATTAAATATTTGAAACTTTAACCTCTAGCTAGATTCTGAAGTTTCAATTCTTACACCTGTATTCTTAGCTACTCAGGAGGTTGAGATCTGAGGATGATGGTTCAAAGCCAGCCCTTGCAGGAAAATCCATGAGACTCTTAAATCTAACCACTAGAAAACTGAAAGTAGTGCTGTGGCTCAAGGTGGTCGAGCACTAGCTTTGAGCAAAGGAGCTCAGGAACAGCACCCAGACCCTCGTTTAAGCTCCATAACTGAAAAAACAAACAAAAAACCTTCCAGTCCTGCATTTTTCTGATTTGGAGATGGAGCCCCAAGTACTTTTTTTGCCCAGTCTGGCTCTAAACAAAGATTCTCAGATCTCAAGTCTCCTGAGTAACTAGGATTTCAGAAGTTGCCAGCTTGAATATGAACTTTCCTTTTTTTTCTTTTTTCTTCTTTTGATGCTGGTGCTGGAGCTTGAACTCAAGGCCTCTCACTCTCACTTGTTTTTTGGCTCAAGGATGGTACTCTACCTGTTGAGTCACACCTCTACTTCTGGCTTTTTTTGCTGATTAACTGGAGATAAAAGTTTCATGAACTTTCTTGCCTAGGCTGGCTTTGAACCATGAGATCTCAGCCTCTTGAGTAACTAAGATTACAGGCATGAACCACTAGTGCCCAACACCAAAAGAACACTTTTTTATCAGTTTTATTACAAACAATTCCTTATAGAAGTGGGAATTCCAGCTGGGTGCCAATTTATGCTGGGTGATGGGGAGGCAGGAAAGAAGCCATGTTACCAAAGTTAGGAAACAGGCTGTAAGACTTTGAAGCAGCACACACTCAACAAAACAGAAAGGGGCCGAGGGTATGGCTGAGGTAGTTCAGAAGCAGTCTAGCAAGCATGAGGCCCTACCCTCAAAACCCTTCAAAACCCAGCACCATCAAATAATTTATAAATAAAACAGAAAAGAAATACCAAGTTTTTAGAAAAGACCAGCTACAACAAGAAAAGCCACAGCCAG